TTCTAATTATAGTTACCCCTCAATCCTCTCCCTTGCCTTATGAGAGTCCATTGCGGCGATGGGAATACCTCTTAGGGTTTTTGAGGAGTTGGGGGTGGACGAGCAAATTGCTCGTCTCTATGAGGTAGTTTGGGGGGGATGAATGATAGGGTTTTTTGGTAGGTATGAATGTTCTAGAGTTAGCAAAATTAAATGGTGGACGAGTGAGCTAACCTCGAAGAGGAGGACTGTCAGGCGATTGAGGCGAAGGTGTCAACGCGCCCGACTGATAGGCTCTCCCAGCTTAGGCATGAATTTAGTTGTGCGGATAGGGGGTATAAGGAGATGCTAGCTAAAGTTAAAGATTAAGATTGGAGGAGTTTTGTGAGAGAGAATAGGAACGACCACTGGGGTCAGGTCTATAGGATCTGCCGGGGTCGTAGGAGGGAGGATGTCACCTCTCTTCGCGTCAGTTATCGTCGTGGAGAGAGTGTGCGGCGGTTCTTGTAGGTGCGTTCTTTCTTAGGTAGGAGGAGCAAGTACCTCAAGCACAAAGGGTGCCTGCTCCTCCATTAGATGATGGGGAGTTGGGGTACGCCTTTACACTGGTTAGGTCTAAACGGTCCCCAGGTTTTGATGATTTTAACGGAGAGAAGTGTAAAAGCTTGTGGAAGTTCATTCCGGAATACCTGGAGGCCATTTATAATTAGTGCGTTTGTGAGGGATACTTTCCACGCGAGTGGCAAAATGCTAGGGTTGTTCCTCTCCTGAAGTCCCCCGATAAGATCAGGAGCGATCCTCGATCTTATGGGGGCATCAGTCTCCTTCCAGTACTTAGAAAAGTGCTGGAAAGAGTCATGGTGGAACGGCTTCAGGAGCTAAAGCGGGCTATATGCTCGGACAGGCAGTTTGGGTTTCGGAAAGGACGCGGCATAGAGGATGCTTGGTTTTATGTTCAGGATGTCGTTAGGGAGAATGTCAACAAGTATGCCCTTGGCATATTTGTTGACTTCAAGAGGGCGTTTGACTATCTAAGCTGGGATCGAGTGGTGCAACGGCTGAAGGAGCTTGGCTGTCCCGAAATTACTCTTTGGCGGAGTTATTTTTCGGACAGAAAGGCCTTTCTTGTCGGCATGAATGGGAGTGTGGAGATTGGAGTGGTTCGTAGCTGCCCGCAGGGTTCAATCTGCGGTCCATATATGATGGACACTCTGCTTGGGCAGATCGAGCCTCTCTGTAAGTGTTGTACGTATGCGGACGACATCCTTATGGTCGACGGTCGCTCGCGGTCTGACTTAGAACGGGCGGTAGGAGATCTCTTAGAGATCGTGAATACTTGGGGTGTAGGTGTGGGGGTGGACATATCGAGGGAAAAAACGGTGACAATGCTGCTTAAGGGCAGATTGTCANAGGAGATCTCTTAGAGATCGTGAATACTTGGGGTGTAGGTGTGGGGGTGGACATATCGAGGGAAAAAACGGTGACAATGCTGCTTAAGGGCAGATTGTCAATGGTTCGTCCACCGTTTGTCCGTGTGAATGGGGTCAGCATCAGATATGCGACGCAAGTCAAATATCTGGGGTTCAGCATGAGTGAAAGGATGTGTTTTACTCCACACTTGGCGTATGTGAAGGAGTGACTGCAGGCAACCATAGGCAAAATACGCCGCATTTTGAGGAGCGATGGGGTCTCGGACGTCGTGCTATCCGCACCATATATCGTGGCTTGTTTGTGGCCTGCGCCACATACGGAGCCCCTGTATGGTGGGAGGCAGCCACGACTGTCTGGGAGTCTCAAAAACTCCTCTCAATCCAGCGTTGTATGATGCTTGCTTGTTTGCTTGTATGTCGCACCGTCTCAACGGATGGGATGCAGGTTTTATTAGGTGCTCCCCTCTTGACCTGATTGTCATACAGCGTGCTGTTGCATTCAGGTTAAGAAGGGGTTTGAGTGTGTCATTGCTGCGGAACGATTGGATTTCCGACGATGATGTGGAGAGGGAGGGGTATCTAGGGAGCAAGAGGCTCCTAGGTGATAGGGTTAGGCGTAGATGGCAAGAGCGTTGGGACAATAGTCCTAACGGCTGAGTGACGTATGAGTACATTCGAGACGTTGGGTTCGTTGAGGATAACCCAGACTTCAGATTTTGTCTGAGTCTGGGTTTCCTGTTTACGGGGCATGGGCCTCTGAATGCACTTTTGCATCAGAGCCACCTATCGGATACGTCAGGGTGTTTTTGGGGGGCGGGACTATAAAGTAGGTCGCATTTAATTGCGGAGTGCCCGATGACATTAGGGATCTGGGTTCTATGGGGATTAGCTGGATTGATGGACGATTAGATGTTAATGGTGTGATCTCCACTAGTCGGAACACCGAATAGTTAGGGTTGTTTGCGCGTGAACCATTTAAGCGGCGAAGGCGGTTAGTTGGAAATTCGGGCTAGATTTGTATGTTTGTTGTGCGTATATGATGTACGTATGGGGTCGAACCCCTGGCCACCAGTCCAGAACCGTATGGAAGCTCAACTGTAGGTTGAAGAAGTCGCCTTGTTATTCCACGGATAGGAGGGTCCCTTTGATATTGCTCAATGTCAGTATCTATTCTATCCCCTACGTGTTGTGGTCGATTGCAACGTTGCAATGTAGGCAGTGTGTTTAACAACATGATCGATTTGGTTGCTTGCTTTTCGATCCGGAGACAGCCATGCAGTTATATGAATTTTTCTATGCTGGAATCTAGTACTATAGTTAACCATTTTTTGGGCTCAGGCGAACTCGATCAGCCTAAACCCACTTGGAATCATCCTGGCGGCTGAAATTACCGACCTTTGTGCCAAAGATACTTTCTTTGCCCACCCTGGCGTTAAATTTGCGAAGCATAATTTTGACATCGTGGCGGCGCAGCTCTCCAAGCGCTCATAGAAGATATTTTTGATTACATTGTCCTTTTGTTTGTTTTGCATTCTCACTTTAGCTCGTTTTCAAACGGATGATTTTTAACTACCCACAAGATACTTGGTCAAAGGCCGGAAGTCGTGAACTGCTTAAGTCGAACATACATATGTAAAAGTATCTTTTCTGGCCACTATCAAGTGAATGGCGCTCATTGAACTTTCCTCACTTGCATGAGCTTCTACACATGACTTCATCCGACGAAAACCAATAATTACAATTTAAAACTATTTGCGCGTTATGTAATGCAAATTTAACTGTGAATGTTTTGAAAACTGTTAGTCTCCTGTGTCTATATACAATATATTCTTAATCTGGAAAACTTCTTTTAAAATTTACCCACAAATAACGATTACCTTACCTATGTTTTTTTGCAAACAAACAAAAATAAAGAATTGTGCGTATGCTGATGTACAGGAACTTTCAGTTGTTGCTGTTGTTGCGATTGTAGCGGTTATCTAACCCAAATTTCGACGATAAGGCTGAAGTTAGTTGTCATGTTAAACGAGTGGGATTCATAGGCATGCAAAGAGGCGGTTAGCGTTATGCGCTAGCTTATTTGAATTGTCAATATGTTTAACTAGCCTCATACCTCTCTGATCATTTGGCAGGTAGGAATGACAAAGATCATGTTGCGCGTTGAAGTTACGAAATGTTTAGAATCGGCAGGACTCCGAACATCTCAGCAGCTGTTTAGCTTGGTTTCTTGGACCGTTATCGATATGATGCCTTCCTTTCTCACAAAATCGAATATCTCCTCGGTCTTGCTCTGGAGTCTGTTGCCATTGAATTGCAACAGTTTAATCGCGGTAAAAAAGTAGTTGCCCTGAGAGTAAGAGAGTCGTATACAGGTAGAGGTTGTTTCAGTTGCAGTACCCGATGAGCGCTTGTCACACGATGGTATTGTTTGTTAGGCAATGCAACGGTAAGTAGTTGCGCGAGCAGACTTCTACAGTAAGGGTCAACGTACGAAACTCCACTCCAGACGTCGGATTACCACAATCCTGAGCAGGAGATGCATCTTACAGGATTTGTGAATTACCATATAATGCCTAATAATCCTCACACAAAGATTAAAAGGAGAGTGTTGACAGAAACGGATGAGACTGGGAGTCATACTGCTGTGTAGCGAAAACGGCACAGTAGGTCGAAGCAGCTTGCATAGGTTTCGTAGAGCAAAAATTTTTAAATTTTTAATATAAAATATTTTATTATAAGTTTTTTCTATTCCAAAGACAAATACATGTTTTACAAAGGTTTTGGGAATTATTCAAAAGAGAATATACAAAACCGTACCCCTACAGCGATGACAGCAAAACTTATAGGATCATCAAAAGTAAACATTCACTAAAAATAAAACATAAATTGAACGAAGGAAACCAAAAAAGTGAAAATTGTGGTTTTGGCAGACGTTTTTATAAAAAAATTAAAGTTTTGGTGAATTTTTTTTCTTCCTTTAAGAGCTGTCAATACCTTTATATTATGATCGGTTGAGAAATTCACGAGTAATCTTGACAACCTACACATAAAACACGGCTTCGAGGAAAATGTGTTTAAAAGTTTCAGAGACTATATGGCTGAACTTAACTTTTTACGAAATATTACTCGGGTAAACTTGAAATTTAGGGTTATATTAACTTACTACTTACCGATCCAAACCGGGTTAGATCGCGGAAATAATAGCCGTTGTCCGAATAAAACACGAGCGAATTCCGGTAACTTGAACCTGTTCTATATATGTGGTATAATCTTGTTTATTTTTGTCTTATTTGGCAAAGACTTTTAGTGTTAGTGGATATTGAAATGAAAAATATAAAAGTAAAATTTTTTAGAAATTGCAAAATTACATACTTTAAATTATGGATATTTTGGACTTCAAGCAAAAATATCTAAAAAACCATAAGTCATATATATATTATTAATCCGGAGAACTTATCCGCAGGGGATGCTATGCTTTAGTTAAATGTCAAAGTAAATAGAATCAGTTGAGCTTTCTGTTATAAAATATAGGGTTAAGAATATAATACAATTCGTCCCTTTCGTTGATTTTATATTTTTCGTTTTTTATAGGAGAGTGCTACTCGCAGTACAGCTATCGAAGACTGGGAGTTGCCAAATCGGTATGCACGTAAACCTATTGACCAGGTTGAAATGGAATACATTAATAACGGTGGAATTATTTAAAGTGTTTTGTAAAAATGGAAAACTTGATATATTTGTCATGAAAACAGAAGCGTTTGCATATTTTTATTAATAAATAAATCAAAGAATGCAGTTTCGAAGTCGTATTAAATTTTTATATTATATGGAAAATTTGTTGACATGTGATTCGAATACCTTGAACGTAGGTGATTTTGTTAATTACGCTAATAACACAATTGATGTATTATCTAAATATACTCTTATACCTTATTGATTTTAATATCTAATTGTACATGTGTACTTATTGATTTATCTAAACTTCACTTAATTAATAACTTAATAAAAAATGTATTTATCATCATGGACAAGTGAAACATACATATGATTCTCTATTTATTTTCAGTATAAAACTTGGTTATTTTATTTTTTATTTTTTTTATTTTATTTTATAAAAGCTTACATAATAATACAATTATTATACAAACTTAAGAAAATACGCAGCACTAGCATCATGGGCTATCGGCCGA